AGGAATTGGCACATTTGGGCAGCTGGCTCAGCTCTGACACAGGGAGCAGGGCAGTGGACTTGGGAGCTGCAGGTCTGCGCACCTTTGCTTTCCTGATGCAAGTATTTGCACTCCCCTAGGACTGGCATTGGGCATCAAATGAGTTCCAGAACTAAAAGGAAATCTTAAAGCAAGTTATAACTCTAAGGAATCGCGGTGTTAAATATGTATAAACAGTACCAGGTTATATCGCTTGTTTCAGTGTTATCCACGGTCACATATAAATGGGTAATAGTGCAGAAATCAACCCAGCTTCTTGACAACTGAGCTGCTGGTAAGATGTCACCTCTGGGCTTATTATAAGAAAATAAACGTATCATTTAAGTAATAATAATAATCATATTGGTGAAGCCACTTTTAGTTGATAAGACATACTAAGTATGTTGACAATAGTCAGGCCTCTTTTGGTTGCAATTGACAAGAAACCCAACTTGTACCTATTTAGACAAAAGAGGTGGTTGATTGGAGATTCAGGGCACTTGGTGGGGGCTGGTGACTGACAGAGGGGATGAAGAATCTGCAGTGAGGGCAGTTCAGGAATCAGGATCTGGGACCAGGGATTTGATGTCCCCAACATATTCTCTTTGCCTCTCTCTGGGTGACAGTTTCATTTTCTGTCTCTTGTCCATGTGGTGAGGGACAGGGCAGTGGGCTGCTCCAGGCTCTCATTTTACAATGAGCTGACCCCTCTCCAACAGAAAAAGCTAGGGAAGAATCCTGTTGGCTCAGCTTGGATCACATACTCATCCTGGACCAATCACTGTGGCCAGATGGATGGAGGGAGTTTGATCATTAAAATATTATCAGATGGAAGAGGGATGCTGGGCGGATAAAAAATAATACCCACCACAATGGCCATAATCGTGGCAGTCAGGCAATGCACTAGAAGGGAAAGCAAGGCAGGTATGGTTATTGTAGGGAAGAGCCAGGATTGACAGGCACAAGTGTTATAGGGCACCTCAATTCTGTTAGAATACAGGGGGAGAGGGACACCCCTGAAGCCCCAAAAACCTGCCTGCTCTAAGTGGGTTCTGCCATCCGCTGCAACAAGACAAAACATATAAAACTTTAATGAAAAGGGACTTTAATACAGTGAATATACAATACAGAACACAAAGAATATAACTTCTAAATCAAACACCTGAAGTGACCCATCCCTTCCGTGGGCAAAGGTCAACCCAAAAGGGACTGGCCCAAAGCAAGGCCTGAAAGCTGCCACAAGACTAAAGCACCTTCTGGCCAGGACCCATGGAAAAGGGTCAGACATGGCCAGACACATCTGGGAGGAGAAGAGCAACATCAAAATCAACATAAACACTGCCAGAGTCACCTCCCTGCAGGTCTCTCACCCACATCTGCCTTAACCAGTCCAAGGTCAGGAATCAAGCCAGGCTTCTTCCTCACAGGCTTGCTGCTCCATGTAGCTTCCTCAGGTCTCCTCCTTGTTCTCCATCCAGCTTCCATCTCTTCTTCTCTCTTCTCATTCCTTCTCTCCTTTTTCTCTGTTCAGCTCCACCCTCCTTCTGGGTGGGGCAGGGAACTTGGAACTTCCCCTTTTCCTAGGGACCCCCCTGTTACAATCCCCCCTTTTGATTTTTAATACCACCATATCTATGGTGGCACAGATTTTAGAGTACAGTCAGTCACCAACATTGTCCATGAATGTCCAATATGGCAGCCATAAGTGGAAAATAGTCCATTAGTACATGTGAAAGGAAAAAAAAAAACTTCCTGGTGTGTATCAAAATCATAGCAACCGAACAAAACAAAACTTTAAAAGCTATTTAAAAGGTTCTCTCAACCTTGATCCCAACTTTGTTCAACTTGTATGCACAAGTGATTTACAAATACATGTTAGCTTTCATTTTTCTATTTTTGCATAAGTCACAGGGCAGAATAATCAAGCAGCAAATTGTTGTTGTTGCTGGCCTTGCTGGAATATTCCATACAGGAGCAGAGCGAACCGTCGATGTCCAGTCCACACAGGCTTCAGGAGCAACGTTGGTCTCAGCAGACTCAACCTGGAGTTTCCTCTTCTTGACCTAGGTTCAGTGGCGTTTCCACAACTCCCCTGCTGTGTGACCTTTACGTTGTTGCTTAACCTCTCAGGTTCAAATTAGTGAGCTTATCAAAGACAAAACCTGACAAGTAGCAGATTGATTTTATTGGGACTGTTCCAATAGGAGAGCTCTGCAGATTAGAAAACAACATGTGTGTTACTCCAGGTAGACTACAACATTGTTCATCTGTAAAACGGGGAAAATATCCATGGTATAGATGCATAACTAATCTATGAAAAAGCACAATGCTGGGCACACATAGGGTTGCCCTATTTAGTAAATAAAAGTGCAGGACAACACACAGTAAGTTGACAAATGTTAAGGGCCATTAAGTGGGAAGATTTAGTTCCCATACCCATTACAGGGACGGACATCTGTTCCTGCTAAACAGAGCTTTTCACTGAAGACCATCTCTGATCTCCACAGAGCACTGGGGGTTGGGGGAGAGGAGGGTGGGAGTGGGGAGGTGGGCTTGACTGGCAGATGGTGACCAGACCTCACCAGGGGGTTCTACAAAGACAAGGTCAGCCATGTTCTGGTCTCGCGGTCTCCACCTTCTTGGCAACACTGAGGTGGAAACACCACAGAATCTCACGACCGAAGGGGAAGAATTTTCTCCATCTCTAGCCGC